GGTGTTTACGTTCATTCATCGCAAAATTAGCGGCTTGGGGCGTTATCAAGGTTTTTGCGGCGGCAGTGCATTTAATCCAGTATCTCGGGCCTCAGCACTGCAGTGGGCCCAGCGATGTTCATGGGTGTGTAGGCCACCTAAATCGTCTGCATCTTTACCAAATACTCTTTTTTTAATGTTGTAGAGCTAACACGTGGGTTTTCAACCCAAAACTAAGTTTTTTGTAATGATGAAGCCAAATACAAGCCAAGTCTTGAGAATGTTTTTCTCAGAAGTGGACCTTAAATACGCGCTCTCATTCTTATCCAAGGCCAGTCACGATCAAATGAGCCTCCAATGTAGGGGATTTTCTGTGCTTTAAACATGTCATAATGTTACCATTGGCCCTCTGTCACAGTGCGTAGGTATTGCGATCAAATGATGTTGTACTTTTAGGGTAAGCCTCGCTCCAGTGCATTGTACTTTCTTCGGATTTGATTGTAGCTCGGAGCTCAAATTCTCATCAACCGATGGGTATTCCACTTTATTAAAAGCTCTTGGGCAATAAAAGGGAACTTGCCACGATAGCCTCTGAACACTCTAAAATAACTCATTTTCCCAACCTATAAAATGAAAAAAGTTCCTTCTCCCCAGACTACCTTCAATTTTCTCACTGCATTTTGCGGTTGGTAAAATGCAAGACGCGCACTTTTAATACAAGGTTACAATGAAGCCACGATCCACATTTGGAATTTCAGCCCTGTAAATCCGTACTTTTTGTGCCTTCTTGAAGCTCCCAAATTTTTCTGGGCCGGATTTTCTCATGCTTGTGGCTAAATTTCATTTTATTTTTTTTATTTCCACAAAGGTTATACCTAGGTCTTATGGATGGTCCTGGTGACACACAACAGCTCTAACAATAATTTTGTAAAGACCAATAACCTGTGTGCTCAGTCCTTAAAGACTAACATATATTCTTGCCGGATGAACAATTTGTGTTGGGGATATCAATATCCCCCAGAAGACGCTGTGTTTTTATGTGTGCTAGCGAACTCCTGGCATCTTCAAGGTCAAACTATGAAAAATCAATGGCCTATTGATACTCCAAGAAAATTTAAATCCGACCACGTACAGGATACCATTCTTTCCACTGACTTGGGTTCGGAAGCTCCGGGCATCGCCTGTTGATCGTGTGTTGTTGGATTATTAAAGTTTGTGTCCGAGGTTCTCGTCTTCTTACTATTCGCCGTGCTAGGAGTCTGTATCAAGCAACATAGCTGGGGATAGAGTATTGCCACAATCCGCATTATCATATTGTTTGCTCGCTGCGTGACCGAACCGTAACACTACGGCATACCGTTACTGTACCTCACCAATCTGCATCTAATTTTCAGATCAATCACTGGACAAATTTGGCGTGACCCACTGCCGAAAAATCATCGCAGCCAGTTGTAGCCTTTGTACAACTTTGTTTTTGCCTTTCAAATGCTTGCCATTGGCACAACCGCTTCATCGTTTGCCTTTCACTTTTTGGTGGACTATGTCGCCTCTTGTTTTCCCCCATCATGTATCTCATCTACCGCGAGGCAGCGACAGTGTAGCGAATCGAAAGGATTGTTTGTTTGGCGAAATTCGGTGCTTTCCTGCGTCCATGCATCTGTTACGGGAATTGGCGCGCTGCTCGCGTAATTAGCAACGTACACCTTAATGCTTCTACTTCAGATTCTATATTCATCCCGACTTGTCAAAGGATTTGATATTTGCACAGTCTCCATTTTCTCTATCCTTAGTTGCCTACTCGCTTGGTAAGTTGGGTGGTCTTCTGTCTAATCCTTTGTAGGGTATTTTATCGCAGACTCGGTGCACATGTTTTGGTGGTCACGGGAGCGTTCAACGTTTGAACTTCTTGTTCATCACTTTGCGGTAAGTTTACACTGGCTATTCATCATACGTGTAGGTAATGACCTGTTTCACCTCAGCTGTGGTATCCGGGACCTATATAGGATATGCTGTTGTCGCGCTACTTGTGGAAATAAATTCAATCTTTCTACACATGCGACGGCTATTGAAATGCCTCGAGTTTCCGAAAGACAGTCTGTTTTCCCAGTTTGTGAACTATGCCAATCTAGGTGAGCCACATTCAGCGCATTTCTATCATTGCTTTAGATTATTCCTTGGATGTGATTTGTGGGTATTTAACCTCCGATTGATCCAAGTTCTGTCTCATTCACTCAGTCGTTTTTCCTTGTCAGCTTTTTTTATCAACCTCACATTTACACTTCAACACAGGATTTGAAACGTTTCCATTAGCTGGGTATCATTTAGTATCAGATCATTTGTTATAAACCAGACGCAGTTTTTTTCATTGTGGTCTCGTATTAAGGGGGAGGAAAGGACTAAGTGCTGATGTGTTTACTACATCGGGTAGTCATTGGGTTTATCGCCGTTACGAAGTCTCTGATGTACAAACTGGACAGTCTAGGCTCTCATGGAGCCAATCTTAACTTGAAAGGTGTTCCCCAAATGACCTTAAAGTGGTCTAAAGACTCATGGACCTTTGGGCTGAGCTGATCGCGTGTTGACGGCAACGCTGCTGTGGGTTGCTGAATGTCACTTTAGTCCTGTATTTCTGAAGGGAAACATCGTTTTTGGCTAAACCATCATATCAAGCTCACGCACTTCAGTCTGGTATATTGATTGGCTCATCTGCTGGCATTTAGTTCGGATATGCTCTTGTTCAATCCTACAGGAGTGCTTTTCCCTTCGTAGATGTGAGGCACATACTTAGTCGTGCACCAGGGCCAGATGGATTGCCTTGTACTGTTTGCGTTTCTGTAGAGTGTGACGCAAGAAAAGCTCTACCATCCAGTGTCAACAAGCAAACTCCCTGGAAGCGTTCTGATCTCAGAAGCTTCGAAAGTTGCAGTTGACTGTTATGCATTGGAAGGTTCCATAGGTGAAGTGTTTGATTTTAATTGAACTACATCCGAACATGAGTGTCACTTATGTGCATCTTTCGCATTTGATAATGATACTTTACGCTACTTTTTAACCTTTCTTCGTCCCAAGGTACCTTCATTGTGTTCCGCTTCCTGGTCCTATGTTGGATGACGCGCTGGCTGGTATTGAACCGAGATCAAATCAGTTTACCTTATTACTGTCTTGGAACTACGTGTTTGGCACTGATCATGTTCATGAACATCGTTCTATTCATGCGCCTTGTCCAGTCGGACGTACTGAGCAGGGATTCGGCAGTTGGAGCAGCTACTTTGGTTGCTTCAACTCACGTGACTACTAATTCGACCAGTGCTTTCAAACGGAAGACTGTCCATCAGTCTCATGATTCCCAATCGGTCTCATTGTGTGCTTCTGATTGAACACCTACCTCAGAGGTGCTACCGTAAACTTTAGTTCCTGCTCTCTTTGCCTCTCTCTGTCTACCCTTCTCTTTACCCATATGAGGGTTACTGCTATCGGTTATCCGACAATTACCACCCCTGTTGGGCATTGGGGCCGATCTTTATGGGGTGTCTATTTCAGTAGAGCGGCTTTTTAATTTTTTGTTTATGACCAGTATTAGCCTTCTCTACAACGACGCACAGCTCTGGGACTACTCTTCTTGATTTCTGGCAAATGCATTTCTTCAGTATATTGTCTACTTTGAGGGATTACCTATTGTCCGGTTCAGTCAGGTCACTCATACTGTTTGGAAGATTTTTCCGTTTTGAATTTTTGTATTCCAACCAGTAAAATGTCATTTTTTGTAAATTCTGGTTCTTCTTTTATCAGGTTATTTCACGACTGGATACAACATTCTCTGGAAGCATCTGTAGTTAGGCTCTATGTTCTAACTTCGATTGTACCTGTTTGGATCGATAATAACTATGGTTCCTATGGATTGTATGGTGGGTACGCATCACAGTTGCTGTGACTAAATGGTTGGAATCACCGCATCGGATGGTGAATAGATGAGGCCGCTGTGTTCCCGAGATATCAGGGGTCTGTACGACAGCCTTACTTGTTTGACCACAGGCCCATCCAGACCCACGCGACAGTTAAGTGCAGGTTTATCTTCAGGACATCGTACAATGTATTCAGCACAGGAAACGTGGTGGGACCCGGAAGCCAAATGTGACGGAGCAGAGTGACTGCATACTTTTTTCTGCATTCATGTATCCGGACTGCACATCGACACAGACAATGTTTTCGTGATCTTTTCTGGTTAATACAAAGCGAGATGTTGTGAAACTGAACATGCACGACGTAAGCAAGAAGAACAAAGATAAAGAGGTCCCTGAGTAAGAGCGTGAGACTATTTCGTGTCAAAATTCATTGACTTATTTGGTCACGTGATCAGACCAAGAGTTTCAATGCGCGTTGGAACGTTTTCATAGTTCACATACCCTGGACGCAAATCGTCACTGCTTCAAATGATATCGAACAGACCCCCCGTAAATATATAGACATTTGGTAAAGTAGTCTTGAGTGCACTTTGTAGAGCATCGAAGCATCAGTATCAAGTTACCGTCTCTGATGATGATGATGATGATGATGATGATGATGCACTATTGAACTTAATCAACTCTATCAGCCAAGTTGGCGACCACTGCTTTTGCGCCAGGCTTCCTTGATCCTGTTGTTATCCCTTTCATTCTTTTACATTGCTGGTGTGCTGTATGCTTCATGTGTCGTATCCTGCGCAAACGCGGTAGTGTAATGTACGACGTGTCGGTTGGTCAAGACACCGGGACCAGACATCAAAACCAACTCCGCTTTAACAGCACGCCGGAAACTCAAGTATGTTCGGGTACCATACCGTTGGACATATGCTCGATACTAGTTGCTTGAGGGCCTCAACCGCAAGACGGTTAAGGGCACAATTGGACCATGTGGGTATCAGTTACCTGGGTACGCAACTTGACTCTGATTATGCTACCGTGCGTACCCGGTTACCAATTCGCTTCCCGTCAGCATTTGTTGGGGATATCAATATCCCCCAGAAAACGCTGTTTTTATGTGTGCTAGCGAACTCCTGGCATCTTCAAGGTCAAACTATGAAAAATCAATGGCCTATTGATACTCCAAGGAAATTTAAATCCGACCACGTACAGGATACCATTTCTTTCCACTGACTTGGGTTCGGAAGCTCCGGGCATCGCCTGTTGATCGTGTGTTGTTGGATTATTAAAGTTTGTGTCCGAGGTTCTCGTCTTCTTACTATTCGCCGTGCTAGGAGTCTGTATCAAGCAACATAGCTGGGGATAGAGTATTGCCACAATCCGCATTATCATATTGTTTGCTCGCTGCGTGACCGAACCGTAACAATTTGGAAAACGGCTCCCTACCTAAAACCGCTACTATGGGCCTCTTGATGGCCTGCTGTACTTTACTGAAGGCACTGACGGCGCACTGGTTTCAGGTGATATTTGCCATACTTACCATACTACTTAGCTGAACTACAGTAGTTACTGGAGATGAGCGTAATACGGTTTGGAAATTAAAAAAAACAAAATAAAATAGTCGCTCAATTCCTGTCTCGTTTGAAGGATAAGCATTAATCCGTGTGGTCACTGGGTCATTGTGCAAATTTCGGACCTCATAAACGATGTTTATCATTGTGTAAGACAGTTTCCCTTTGAAGAACTCACGATTACACCATTGTAGGGCTCCTCACTGTTATTTCTAGGAACTTGGCAGGGTATGATATAGAACATCCCCATGAAGTCTTGTTTGAGTGAGCTGAGCAACTCTGCAATTGATGAATAATTAATCAATTAGAATGGAGTCGTTTAATTTTCTCAGTACACTTAAAACAGTTAGTACGGTCTCATTTAAAAGTGCTTGATAGTGGTTGCCTAAAATCAAGTTGAGCATTTGAAACAGATTGACTGAAAAGCTTCAGTAAGTATACATCTATTTTCCCCAAGGTATTTTATCCCACCAGATGTTATACCATTCACCTCTGATTTGTTTCCTTTTGCTGGATGGTCTACAAACTTCGCACTTATTCCTTGGATTCACACCAAGATAAACCAAAAGTTGCGTATTTTAGTTGTGTATCTCACATGACCGTTTTAATAAAAAACTTTTGCTGTTTTGTCAGCACTCTATGTTGGGACACGGTTTTGGGTGATCTTCAGGACACGTTCGCCGTATACCTCACTTATCCTAACCAAAGTTACAGTCCGATTTGTTGTACATTTGTCGTGTGTACTACGGCAGGAGGATGAATCGGTGTAATTTGGGACCGAGTTTGGTCACCAACCTACTCAGCCGTGGCACTCATATTTCTCAACACTGTTGGAAACGATGGAGGATTAGCTAAACTCTGAAATGGTTTGCTTATCTACGAGAAATAACTGAGTGAACAGACCATGAATCATCTCATTTGACTATCATGCACTCCGCCAAGTATGTCAAGAAGCCGACAATCCGTCAGGTTTTGAAGCTGAATTAGCAGAGAATGCAAAAAACCAACAGTGTGCACTATTATTGTAATTAAAACAAATCAGTCGGTTTAATGTTGCAGTATGTATTTGAAAATACTAAAATGACTACTGGAGCAGTGCTAATGCGGGTCAAAAAGAGGATTCATCAAAAACTGCTTGCGGCTTAAAGATCTGAGAAAGGGACGGTTTAAGCCTACAGATATTTAAAACGTTTACTTCTGTGGAACTCACCTCAGTAAGCGGATAAACTGGCGTTTTTATATCACTTTGCTTGGCTTGCCTTATTACCAGAAGGTTCACGGAAAACGAATACCACTCCTTGTAACGGTGGCCACTATATTTGCTTTCAAACACATTAGCTCACCGCGTCAAAATATTAGGAACACACCTGCATGGCACAAAAACGATAAACTTGGATCTATTCAGTAAACACAACTATTTGCTGCGGGAATGTTGTCCACCATTGTTGAGTTGAATTCCAAAGTCCATATCCAGAGAGGCAGCAGCTGTCAACCAAACCGAATGTAGTGGTTAGTGCTTCCATACTTCAATTACAGGCCACTTACCTTGGCAAAATAAGTTCTGCAAGGTAGACGATATGCGACGTGCAAACCATGTGTCCTAACCAGACTAACCCGTATTGTTTGAATAGCTTATTCTTCAAGGCAGAGCTGTCCCTTTCTGAAACTACCCATAGCTGGTTCTATGTCCCCATCAGACCTGGTCGGTGCTTTTGACACACCATTGATCAAACATCAAGTGTTTTTTTGCGAACAGGCAATGGTTGTGATCCACGAGACCGTATATATTTTGCCACTGGCAGGTAGACTGATGTGCCTATGTCATAGTTTGACAATAGCTGGCCTAGCCTTCTCGACTGGAGAAGTGAGCTAGTCTCCGGCAAGGCCACTGGAACATATACGGCTGCTAAGTGAAATACATTTGTCTGCCACTTCTATTGACTGTCCTGCGAGCATGATGATTGTGTTTTACGCCACCTAGCTGTGTAGAAACACTTTTCAACTTGCACGTGTGAAACGTACATTAAAAAGTGCGACAAGATTACGTATGCTATTTAAAACGAAACGTGCATGGAGAGGATGAAAAAGGAGAGCGATATAATCTGCGTACTAAAATTTTGTGAGTAAACCCCTTAAGAGACCTTTGCTCCCCGAATTTCCAGAGAACGGCAGGGAGCTTCGAAATGGCACATCAATATCAGAGGTGATGAGAGATAATCAGTGGGAGTAAGCTTGTATTGAACCACTAGATCTGATGAAGTGTTGTGACAGTTTGCTGCATACGTGTATGTACCCACCGAAAGTGGTATACAACGTCCCTCGAAAAGACGAAAACTGAGAGAACATATTTGATCGCCGTGCACCCGAACACTTTTTGGCAATCTGTGGCGTCAAAAAAGGTCTTTAGATAAAAACGATTAGCTCTTAACGTCTGAAAGAGGGTCAGTGTTCTAGAGCCGGGATCAACAAATAACATTAATTAAAAAACAACTGAGCAGCTGTATCATCCTATTGGTGACTAGCTGCCATACTACCTGAAGGAAATACGAAAGATGGAATTTTTTCAAGTTTTTCAAGCCTAGGCACAAACAACTGAGGTATCGAGATAGGTTTCAAACCACGGGTCTTCCTGCCAAAAGACCTGCGTCTTATCTTTAACTAACTCAAGATTTTAGTAAGGGTAGGATTCTTATGGAACCCAGCCTAGGGAGAACCCAGCCTGAATATCACAAATGTGCATCCCTTGACAAGCGGTCAAACTGCATCAAATGATGTCAGAGTGTGGTTGGATACTATGCTTAAAATTATTCTACAATAAATTTTAGACGACGTTCTTGAACCGATTTTGAAATTTCAAATCTACGCCTGTCCCACTTATCTGCATTTTTTGTTCAATATCTTTTATAGTAGACTAGCCAGGTTTCCTAATGGGGCTCCAGCACGTTTTAAAGACACAGGACATAAACCATCAGAACTACCATACTTGTGGCGCTGGAGAAATAGTATCTTGCTTTGAATTTATGATAGTGATGATGGCCAGCTGCTTTTGAGGTTTCAGTCTGGCTCACTGGATTCTTCCAGACATTGTGCTAAAGAAGGCTATAGTGAAATTTCCTTTAACCACCGTGTCAACTGCTTGTGAAAACGACCGCATAGATGAATTATTGATCCATTTTTTGAATAACACTCTGGCCGGCCGACCAATTTGGTCAACATGTGGCGCAGTCCTTTCCCCCAAAAAAACCTTCCACAGCTTCTGGGCCTTCGTCATTCACCTGCGTTTTTGTCACATTCAGGCTGACAATTATGCACCTTATAAATATTGTGTGCAACATCGTGATCGGTAATTGTTTGAACAGTTTCCCAAAACATGCTGAAGTTGATGAACGAGTGTTTCGCATTGTAGTGCGTAGTCTCGAAGGAAAAGTAATTTGGAACTAATCCTGTAGAGTGATGTTCGTCAAGCTGCGTACAGTAGGCAGCTCCATAATTAACCGATGGCCATATAATTCAACTGAGCTCCCGACTGACTTGGCGGTATACAAGTAACTCGAAGGAGGTGCTTATGCTGAATGTCTTTACTGACCCATCCCATAGCTGGTAGAGTCGTTCTCTGTTTTCTGGTCAAGAATCGAATTGGAATCTACCATGCCTCTTTCCGGATTAGCCGTCAAACCTAAGCGTGCACATCGTCCTTTAGAGTGACCAAATTAGCCCTCGTTGGCGAGAAAAATCGAGCAATCACGGGAGAACATTCCCTTCTCAGCTTTAGAACTGCAATCCTTTGAGACTCACGGTAACGCGCCAACCAGACAACACTTACTGCCTCCAAACGCATGGATCTCAATTAAACCAGACAACACTATATGGAAAACACGACTGTTCGCTAGAATCTAGTGAATTAAAATGGCTCCAGCCCCTGTGGTGAGTGCATCACTTACCCCATGGATACCATGAGCAATTGTGTCAGGATCGCCAGGCCTTTGAACAGAACAGTGTTAAAAATTTAAATTCATTCTAATCGCCCTGTAGTGTGTGGCATAAACAGGGTCATGTGTGCGTTTTTGGGAGGCAGCATACAACTACTATGTGAGGAAACGAAGCTTTAGCAGGGAATGCACACTGCTCAATTTGACGGCGAGTACGGATTTTTGAAGCTGCACTGTAGATTAGATCCTTTGGGGTTAGTGTGTGATTGTTCGATGTATTTTATTTAGTGGTAGTTTAGAGACGGAAAACTGTTAAAGGACTGACAGCTGCGCTGACCGAGGTAGACCAACTGCGGACAATGATGGGATATGGATGAGGGCTCCTGAACGAAACTCTGCAATGAAAACTGGTACGCCCTGGTTCCCAGGCGGAAGGAATTTGAGACCCCTAACGGTCCGCGTTAGACTTAAAGGTCCAATCCGCAAGTTAATGTGAGAATGTGGAGTTTTGCTTCTGCACCCTGCCTGTAGCATTTGACCCGAATTTTTATCCAAAAACACAGTAGTTAGTAGAGCTTTCTTGGAAGACCCATTCCGGAACCAGTGGCTCAACATTGTGGCCCAATTTGTGCCACAAACTGGCCTATGCCAAGGTCGTCGAAACTTGGGCAGATATCTTACTTTTTATGCTAATTAGCACAGAAGAAACATCCGGATTCGTATACAATTCAGGATAAGGTTCATTAGTTTCTTGGCCAGTGGTCACAGTCAACCACTGAGTGGTCGGAGTGTGAAGGCTTAAGAGCAGCTCATTTATAATCCTCACATTTGCACTTTAAGTTGAATTGCTCAGGCGCTTATTGGCGCATGTTAGGCTTGCCTTAAGAAGTATATGGCCGCTCTTGAAACGGTCGTTCATACTATGCACTTTATTCTTATTAGGTATTATCAGATGATCTTATAGAGACCAAAAGCATTGCATGGCCATGGATACCACCAGGTCACCAACCACAATAAGACGTCTTTTGAAACCGGTTTGTCACAAGCCAGTAATGTGGAAGATAGCATTTTCCACAACACCCATGGAAATCTCAGATGCATTATCTGATGCTCGCCAGGTCTACCACAGAGAGTGCTTAGTATCTAAGGGAGAGAAACCTATCGGCCCGTCTTGTGGCTCATCAGGTAGGCAAAGTCCAGGAGTTTCCGTCACCTTATGTTCAACGAAAACATCAGGCGGCCTTTGTTCAGCACATCCAGTTGAAGAATATCTTAAACGACGGTACTAGACCTTTTGTCGTTCTAAGGGGAGGATGTTTGGTACTCCTTTTTTCATGTTCACCTTCAAAGAAAAGAGTAAATATACTCACAGGGCACTACCTGTTTGTAATATGTCGATTATTGTCTTACTCGGAATTAGAACTGATTGCGACTGCTTGTCTTGAAGTGGTTAAGCGCTGGACATGTGGAGAAACAAACCTGATGAAACTCATGGGACAGTCAAGTTCATTTTTAGAACACCGAAATTCCCCCTGGTCAGAATTGGTCCCAGAGTGAATGTCGGTTTACCAAACTAAAGGAGCGAGAACGTAGTCAAGGCTTTGAAACTTATGCACTAATTTTTCCACTTCGACTTGTAAAAACCTAAGTAGTCCCAAGTATCAGAAAGCATGTGTGAGGACGGAGCAAAAGTCTAATATGATGGATCAGTTTTTCTTACATTGCTCTCTTTATATTGAGATGGTGGGAAAGAACTAAAAAAACCGTTAGTTATCTCTTAGGATGGAAAACCACTGCACCTCTCCCAATAGGCGAAATTGTTTTCTCAAATTTTTGGAGTAATTAATAATGCCCACCAAGGTTCTACATATATCCACATTTGAACGATACATTTTTCAGCTACTGTACGGTAGGCTCCCAGGAGCAATCTTTGCCCGGTATGCTTAAATGCGCTCACTATAGGAATATATTGCCTCAAGGCACCGTCTACAAGCATGAGCGTTGCTTTAAAAAACATGGAGCTCTGTGTTATAGTACATTTCGGACAATAGAGTAAATACGTGATAAATCAGTGTTGCAACGCTTTGTATCACCACCATAATGTGTGGACTTTGTTGTAGCTAACATGTTGTTAGTCTAGTAACATGCCTTTCAAATACTACTGAACCACTCGCACGCAAGCCCCTCGCAGAGAAGCTACTCGCTCACAGGTTAACAGATAAGTTAAAAATGATGCTAGAGATCTCATAACTCCCTGCACACCTCTGCACAACTTTCCTCTGATACCTCCGCGGATCGTATCACTTACGCACGCCTATCGAGAAAACTGATTGTACACATAAACATAGCAAACAATTCTGTTGCTTCCATTCCAAAGTCACCTGCAGGACCCATGTTATAATGGAAGGGCTCATCGCAAGCTGTTGCATTATCGTGGTCTCTTGGCTCCAAGAAGGTCAGAAGGCAAAGATCACTTGGGACACATCTTTTCATATTTCATCTGATCATATTCTGATCAATTTTCTTTGGGAACTGGCATAAAAGACCTCGAACATTTTGACAGCTCACCCTTTTGATTTTTTTCAGTTCTTGAGCAAATAACCTGCACTTGTCCGAACCTTTAAGAGTGTTCCCAGGGTTCCGAAGCCGTTTGCATCACAGGACACCCTACTGGAAATGTGCATTTCTCTCTCCGAACCAAAAGGATAAGGTGGGATCCAAATGCGCTGCGATTAGTTGCGACACCAATGAAAAAAGAATACCACTGACGAATCAACTTCTCACAAAAAGTGATCGAATGAATACTCGATATGTCAATCGTGGTTGCCGCATGTGTGATGAGCGTTCACTCCCCGATTAATGCCCTGTTCCGAAATGGTGTCGGCTACTCCTCTGACTGCTAATATCCACTAGAACATCGGACAGCGGTTTGTGCGTGCTCCCTTGGTTGTGTTTGACTCTACTCATTTGTAGATCTTAACTAAGGGGTCGTATCATGGTGCGTCGCGTTGATGGAACCAACGAACCAATAGGTGTTCGATTATTTAGTTTGTCATTATCTCTAAAAAGATAGGCCACTTGGGTCGCAACCGATAGAATCGATTAGTTTTCTTTGTAGAGACTCTTTAACGTTGTTTGAACCCTGTCAAACAGTCACTGAAATTTTGGCATCAGTCATAAAACATGCAAGATATAGAAAATAATCAACAATCTTGGCGGCAGTTGAACTAATTATTTGATCTAGCAACACTATTCGGAGTTTTTCACCGAGATAATTGATTCACTGGAAACACTACTTTTCAACTCATAACCGCGAATGACTCTGAGGAGGTTTTCGGAACACATTCAAAAAATATACACGTGAAGTTAGTATTATGATCAAATATTCGGATGCGTGGTGTTGTACCAGTTGGTAAAGAAAATGAAATACTTCACTACAATCGAACATCGGACAGCATCCCTTCCGTAAATATCAGATACAGTAAAGGTCCAACGCCAACTCCGGAGAGTTCATCCGCTCCTCTGAATTCGAGAAGAATTTCCGCATTGTCCAACTAACAAGTTTCGTCCTTATTATATTAGCGTTGGAACGAAACCTTTTACACGAAAGATAGTAAGAGTGCGAAAGCGCACTATGTACGGATAAAGCAGTTATCTTTAGTGGCAACGTTTGTAACCATGCTAACGATTTTGCGACCATGTTTTATTCTTTCTGTATCCGGTCAGTATAACCAAAGGGCCTTAATTTGTCTGCCAGCGTAAAAATATCTCCAAGTGTGTATTCTTCTTCGTGATCGCACGTTTACAGTTTCCCATAATATGACCGCATCTATATCCCTGGAAACTATCGGATAGATTAGGGAACCAGCCCTGTCATCTGTTGTCTCAGTCTCTTCATTTGCAACCTGGTTTACAATCGTTGGCGCGGTGAAAACTACCTACTTGTGAGTAGTCTGGTGGATGACTATTCCAGCGTGCATCGGGTTGTGCGAGTGTAAATCATACATGGATAAGCGTCCCGCAGTTAGTCAGGTAAAACAGTTAACCTCAGCAATATCTTCGGTAGCAAAGAAGACGGTCATTCTCAAAGATGATTCACCAGTTCCTCAGTATTTCTGAACTGCCAGATGCCGGTTGTTTACTGTGAGCCATTCATTTACTGACGTGGACTGTTAGATTTTCGGTGTTTGTTTTCTTTTTCCAAGCCATACCTGACCTTTGCGTACTTTATCTACAGTTGCCATTGCCAAGCAGCTTGTATCAGGAAGAGAAGCGCTACTCTTAGTTAAAGGCACTTTTGGTCCCGGAGTTCTCACGCTGTAACTCGTTGTTTTACCCCCACAGTGAGTATGGTATTCAGCAAGAGAAAGGTGAACTTGAAGCCCATAGCATCAGATGTCATTGATTTCATTTCAAACCATGCATGTAGGTGAAATGAGTGGATGCTTCTGTTGTTTTGTACTCATTAGGTGAAATCGACCTCTCTTAACTAAAAGAAGGGAGATTATTGTCACACTTGCAAGCCCGAAATTTGATTGAGGAAATGTGATTTGTTGCGAGCGGTCCAAAGTCTCTGAAAGTGAATTAAACATGTGAGAACCATCCACACTTACCTAGGGTCGATCTGTCATTGTGGTGGACTTGGTCATCCCAACATTTCAGACAGTGAGAGCCGAAAAATTAACCAGACCGTCATGAAGGTACCTGTTATGGATGATAGAAAATCTTCCGTCATAAAGTCTTTCACAGCCGAGTGGAAGGGAGCATTCCCGTGGCCAAAACACGAAACCATTAAGCTAGGTTCATAACTTGGTTTTAACTACAAGAGCGCAATACCTACAGTTGAGTATTGCATCTCGTGCATATTTGAAGTGAAAAAAAGCCGAAGGTGTTCTAGACAACAAGAGTAATCAGACCGAACCAACTCCTGCGGTTTCAAATCAAGGCACCTAACTGCTTTTACACTAACCAGGCAAAGCACTGCGATTCAGTAGACCGAAGTCGCTGTGAGGATGGACATGTGGCGTTGTTCTGGGTTAGAAGGTGATTACTAGGGCGATTATGGTCATCGATCTGAAATAAAATTAGACAAGCACCTTACTCAGTAATAAATTTAGCGACTATTTTCCGAGGTTTTATGACAGGTTTCGATTCTTGGTGAGTTTCAGGCGTTTCCCAACTGACTGAATATTGGATTTTTCTTCATGGTTTGCCAAACTAAGTCAGGCGATCCGTATTTGTTGAAGCATTACGACGCGATCATAATGCTCCTGTTGTTTTGGGTAGGTCTGCCACAGAAGTGCGACTAGTGTAACGGTGGATACTACTGATCAAACATGAGAGTAGTATGAGTGAGAGAGTATGAAAAGTGAAAGTTATTACAGAATTTGTGGAATAGCCTTGCAGCATTAGTTCCCGTTCGAGTGCTAGTCAATGAATATTCAGGAAATTTCAGGAAGTTGCGTTCGAGAAGGAGACGGATACACAGTTTTTATAAACAAAATTCACGTAAGTTTTGCTTCCCTGTCCAATAGTCTGTAACTGTGCATTTGGTGTTTTCCAATAAATAACTCAGCAGCGAAGGCCCTATTCCCTTCAACAATACTGACCCCCCGTTTCAGAAGGCTTCGTAAACTGTCTTGAAACAATGTCTTCATGATAGGCCCCGAACATTTTCGAGTGACTAATAGTTCCAGCAGAGATCTTATCATGCAAATGAAGTGTATCTGCACTAAATCTCCGGGAAGCACGTTACGGTTGTTTCATTCACCTAGCAAACCTCTGGGGTAATTCAAACCCCCAATCTCTAGTCGACTACTTACGATTTAGTTCATCCTATCCTGAGCGCCTGATCAATAATGTGATTAACTCTCACACACATAGTGTATAGCGCCATTCATGCTTCACGTCACATTACTACGTGTTGCCTCGCTCCGTGAGTGACGACTAGATACTGTCGAGTATACATTCCTTGATTCGAATATAATTAGCGCCACTAAATGAGTTGTCCTTCGTGGCATTATAATAGTCGTTGAAAGAATCATCTAATTTCCGTAACACTACATGTATCTAGAGTGAGGAAAATAGACAGTTTGTCCTATGCGACAGCTTGCATGAGCATAGAGATGAAGTTAAAACAGTTTGTTTGGTCGCACATTGCACCAGGTGAAACGATGGTGAAAACGTGTCAGCGATATGACCGATACAAGTAGTCACAGTGACCCTCAGTGCTAACCTCAAAGTACGAAACTTGCCGGGCACGTATGTCCTGGATGATGACCACATATTTATCTCAGGCGAAAGGACAAAGGGACGAGTAAAATCGAAGCGCCCTGGTTTGCGATTAATAATCCGAACATCCAGGCTTTTTTAGGGGAAACCTGCTG